CACTGCTAAAGGCTTCATTCCAAGTGAAGCTCGAATACGATTCGTCTCCTCAATAGATATAGCGTCCGCCATTTTGATATAACGTGATGTGGGATGTCGAAGAAACCTTGGAATTGATTAATGATTATTGTATCGAGTTTCGCGACATTAATAAAGTTGAAGTTGGTATGTGAGGCTGACAGATAAATTAACCCTAACCGAATGAATACTAGTGCGATCCCAAAGTCACGCTAAATTAGCGCCATAGATTCGCTACAAAAGTTTTTCATTGCGCGAAAAGTTTTTGATTTTCTTCTTACAAAAACACCAGATTTGTGTCCAGCGTCCCTTTACCAGAACTGCTTGTCAGCGATGGTTTAAGGTTGTATGCTGAGGCAGTTCGATCGTCTATGGAGCCATCAACCTACCAAGGTAATTTATGATGTCAATATCCGATCGACAAATCTCAGAATGATCGGTCCTTATGAAACCTGAGTCGCTTCGGCTGATTCGGTGGATGAGTGTACTGAAGACGTCAGATTCCAAATCTGTTTGCCTAGGCTGTTAGCCTTTGAGGTTGCGGAATAACCCTCTCGTCTACATTTAAATCTTGGGGAATTTACATCATGAATCGGCACTTGAATGAGACCTACGACACTTATGGATTTACACGGCGATTGCGCAGATCTATGGAGGATGCATGGGTGGTGGATTATCTGCGAAGACCACGAAACGAGGCGTCATCTTCATCCGGTCGTCATTCCGCTCGAATGGAATATAATAGTACAAATGCGTATTGCGCGTCGAGTTGAGTATTGGGTAGACATCCACGTATTTCATAGTCTTGCTTGTGTAGAGAAAAGGCCCTATACATAATCAATTATTGAAATTGAAACTTTCTTCCATTGAGTGACATGCAACTTCTCATGCAATGCCGTGCACGCATCGGGACCATATACCGTTACGGTAGTTCTCCGCCATACCTCGAGTGCAATCTCCTACGTTGGCGCAGGAGATTCTCATGGCCGGGTTGTAATCCTCTCCAGGGCTATCCTCAAGATGGAAGCTGGACTTGGATCTGGACCTGGTTGGCTCGAGTTTGCATGATCTGTATTATGACCACAGCAATGGGCCGTCAATCATGCATGCAGAACAATATACTTATTAGTATGTACCCGCAAAGCGGCCTGTCTACTCAATTGACGCAAAAGCTATGTGCCTCGGGTATCAATTGCAAGGTGCATTGCTCAATCAAAGAAAGCACTTGATTCTCGGGGTTCAACCTCGGTATACTTGCTAGTTTCTTTCCAGATGACCCTGTCTTGCAGGATATCTTTCTACGTGATGTTTTGTCGTCCATGGCTCGTCATTCGATCGGATAACGGATAATCCTTCGATCTTGCACTTGTCTATGCCGCTTCCAAATCGTTCAAGGACCCGATCTCTCTAGCCACCATTTGGTCCATATAAAGGAGTGGTGGAGGTCTCCGCAGGATCCTCAAATGCAACTGCATACTATCATACTAGGTACTTACATCGTACAGAGTACAAAGTACAAAGTATCAATGGTACGACAAATCTGCTCTTCCTTAATCTCGGCATCTATCAAGCTCGCCTACAATATCAGAAACGAACTCCAAGAACAAACTCCAACTCCAGATCATGTATATACACCTGCATTGAGGATCTGTACCAAACAATCTCCAACCTCATACCGGTAGGTACCGTACATCAAATGCAAAGCAGAAAAACGTGCACAGGCGCAGCGCGGGGTTGGATTCAGGCTGTGGCTGCAGACAAGGGACGGCCCGATTAGATAGAGAATGGCTCGTGTGGGGACCCCGGACTAGCGAATACCTACCAGCGAGTACTTAACCTTATCTTGCTTGAGCCGTGATACCTACCTACTAGGTAGGTATACAATGTCATTGCTGACTGCGGGGTTGAGAATAATATGAAGTTATACACACTTCTGCGTGCCCAAGTTAGTAAATACAGACTAACGCATGTATCGATTGAGATCTTCAAGCACATTTCAGCTGTTTTCACTAAACGAAGTAGTCGTCATCCCGTCTGTCTGAAGACTACCCAAGTACGGCTAATCATTGACTATTTGGTAGCTACATTCAATCACATCTAGACACGATCTTTCAGGGGCCACTTTTACATGCGTACCAATGAACTGAGAAAAAGGCCCTAGCTTGTCACTGTCTATTTAAGAAGAAGAAGAGAAAATCAGGGAATTTAATTGATTCAACTTCAAGGCAAGCTTTTAGCACATTCGAAAATTCACAGATTGAACGGCATTACGTTGCGCCTAAAGTATCTCAAAACGGTTCTACCTCCGTACCGCACACAACATCGTGACTGCCTCCGTACCTTGCAGCTACACAAACAAAAAGGCAAAATTCTGTCCTCCCTTGATTAGCTCATCTAATCCCTACAATACTACCTTGATTCAACTACCTGCCGCTCACACTATCAAAAAAATTACCCTGGAGACTTCGGATGCGTCAAGACACCTAGCATCCAAAGGCACAATTCGGTCCTACATACCTTTATCCATGACTTAGGTCTAGACGGAGAGTTCTTCTCACCAACATAAATAGCAATGGCTTCTTCATTGTTTTCCTCCCTCACCTCTCTCAACTCCATCAGCACTTTCAACAGCACTCTGGTCCTCCAAGCTGTTCAACCCATTATGCATACATTCGCTCCCCTCCTTTTGGTTGGCAGTCTTGCCCTCCAAACTATTTATGCCTTACCTGGCCCCAGTAAAGTTGAGCAACGCGCCGAAATCCTAAAACGCTCGGTGGATTCTTTCATTGCCACCGAAAGTCCTATTGCTTTCAGAAATCTTTTATGTAATATCGGCTCAGATGGAGCTTGTGCTTCAGGGGCAGCTTCGGGGATTGTGATTGCTTCGCCTGACAAAGTGAATCCAGATTGTTAGTATTTCATGGAGTTGTTTGAATAAATGGAATTCTGATATGCAAACAGATTTTTATACTTGGACTCGAGACTCCGCATTGGTCTTCAAAGCCCTCGTTGATACATTTATCAGTAGCAGTTATTCTGCATCACTTCAACAGGAGATTGAAAATTATATCAGCTCCCAAGCTGGTCTCCAAACCGTATCAAACCCTTCAGGAGGTTTATCATCCGGTGGTCTGGGCGAGCCCAAGTTCAATGCGGACAAATCGGCATTCACAGGTGAGAAAATGCGAAAACTCTCTTCTGATGGTGACTGACATGTGAACTATACAGGGTCTTGGGGAAGACCTCAACGAGATGGACCCGCTTTACGTGCTACTGCTATGATTACCTATTCAAAATGGTTGATTGCCAATGGATATACCTCCACTGTGCAAAACATTGTTTGGCCAATTATCAGAAATGATCTGTCTTATGTTACTCAATATTGTAAGTCAACGGGAAGAAAACCAAACTAGTCTCAAAATAGATGACCCTATTTTCTTGAAGCCTTTGGCTGACTCAATTCACAGGGAACCAAACTGGCTTCGATCTCTGGGAAGAAGTTCAAGGATCAAGTTTCTTCACTGTCGCTGCTCAACATCGTGCCCTTGTTGAAGGTAGTGCATTGGCCGCCCAAATTGGTCAAAGCTGTACCTATTGTGATTCTCAGTAAGTATACATGAAAGAATATATTTCAATACACGTGCTGATCCATTTTTCAGAGCTCCACAAGTTCTTTGCTTCCTCCAAAGTTTCTGGAGTTCATCTTCGGGATACATCATTTCCAACATCAACCAAAACAGCGGAAGAAACGGAAAGGATGCAAATAGTATCTTGAGTTCTATTCAGACTTTTGATCCTACTGCTGCATGTGATGCTACCACATTTCAACCATGCTCAGACCGTGCTTTATCAAATCACAAAGTTGTGACTGATTCTTTCAGATCTATCTACAGCATTAATTCTGGAATTGCCGAAGGTGTTGCCGTTTCTGTTGGACGTTACCCAGAAGATTCTTACTATGGTGGCAATCCCTGGTATCTCAATACTCTTGCGGCTGCCGAACAGCTATATGATGCATTGTACACGTGGAATAGAATTGGCTCCATCACAGTAACTGCTACTTCCCTAGCATTCTTCAAGGATTTCAGCTCTTCCATCACAGCCGGAACATACGCATCCTCCACATCAACCTACACCACTCTCTACAACGCCATCAAGACCTACGCTGATGGCTACGTCAACATCGTCGCAACCTACGCGCAAACCAACGGGTCTCTCTCAGAACAATTCAACAAAGCCGGCGGCACCCCTCTTTCAGCTTACGACCTCACCTGGTCCTACGCAGCCTTCCTCACCGCCGCCGCCCGTCGCGCAGGCGTCGTCCCATACTCATGGGGTGAACCATCCGCCTCCAGCGTCCCAGGAACTTGCTCTGCTACCTCGGCCATCGGAACCTATTCCACTGCAACCGCCACTTCTTGGCCCGCATCGCAAACCCCCAGCGGCGGAGGAAGTACTCCCACAACCAGTACATCCGCGACCACCAAGACAACTTCCACCTCGACCAGCACTTCTTCATGCGCAACAGCCACTTCGGTAGCTGTCACTTTCAATGAATTGGTCACTACCTCCTTTGGCCAAACGATTAAACTCTCAGGTTCCATCTCCCAATTGGGAACTTGGACACCGGCTTCAGCGATTGCGTTGAGCGCCGCAAAGTATACGGCTAGCAATCCGTTGTGGACCGTAACGGTCAATCTACCAGCCGGCACGACGGTGTCGTACAAGTTTATCAATGTAGCGAGTGATGGGACAGTTACTTGGGAGGCGGATCCAAATAGGAGTTATACGGTTCCGAAAGGTTGTGCTACGACTGCTACTGTTAGTGGGAGCTGGCAGTCGTGAGAGAATCTCTCAAATTCCCTAAAGAGATGACAGAGATGGGTGGTAGTGGGAAAGTTTGGGACAATGAGATCCAGGAGTAGAGCTTTATGATTGTATGAATTAATTGATTATGGTACATAAAATTGATCAGTATCATTGCATCATTGCAATCTCATCGAACCCTAACAGCGTGTGTGCATGTGTGTGCGCGTGTGTTTCTCAAATAATCTCCTTTGAAATCATCCGAACATTTCAAGATAAGCTCCTGATTCCACAACTCTAAAGATCCTCAGGTGGCTAACAGCAAGATGTACCCTTCACATGATTTGATATCATATGAAAAGGGCAATCAAGTGAAGTAGATAACAGAAACATTAGCAAATCTGCAACATCAATTAATTCCGAAAGAATCCCTCAAGATCATTTGAAATTGGCCCCCTTAAATCTCGAAGCGACAATTTTTTCCCTGGGATGCTTCTCAAAAGTAAAAGACCCCTCTCAAATAATCTTAAGAACTTAAATTCAAACTCCTCATTCTTCCTCATCACTCGTAGCTTCAATATTCTCTTTCTTACCCTTCTTATTCTTAGCCTTTTGCGCTGCTGGCTTGACTTTTTTATTCTTGCTCTTGGACTTTTTGTCGGCTTCCGAGTCTGTTTCTACGGCTTCTTCCTCTTCTTCATCGTTGGCATCTGACTCTTCTTCCTCGTCTTCCTCTACCTCTGCTTCTCCGGGACCAACGTCAATACCTTTTTTCTTAAGATTGGCGTTGATTTGGGGGATGGATTTGAGGAAGTTTTTGTATTGGTCAACTGTCAAGGAGATACCCTATTTATTCATTATTAGCTTTTAACTTCTTTTTTCTGTTTGTCTATTCTGAAGATTGTACATGCATAGAATTTGCAGAGATAGCTTTTGTGAGACTGCGCTGCGCAAGAGGGGGATAAAACAAACCTTCTTTCCAGGTAAAACATTTCCATCTTTCTCATAGAACTCGCGAATGTTTATGAGCGTTTGACCTTTGAAATCTGAAAGCTCAATTTTGCGAGGAGTGCGTCCAGTAGAGAGGTCCCATGAAGGAGAGATGGCGGAGGAGGAGGAAGTGGGTTTCGCTGCTGTAGTGGCTTTGGTAGCTCTGGTGGTCTTGGATTTCTTAGACTGAGGGGTATGTTAGCGACGGCTGGGTATTTGTGGGGTGCGTTTGAATAGAGAGGGGCAATGTATTTAGTATTGATTTTGGAGGGTGATGCCAGAAAGAGAAGGATGGATAGATTAGGGACAATTGTATTGAAATGGAATTGGAGTTGGAATTGGAACTGGGAGAGGGTTTACCTTGCGAACAGCACCATCATCATCGGATACGAAACCACCGTCAGAGTCGTAAGTCTCGGCAGGTTCAGCGCGGGCTCGTTTTGGCATTTTGAGGGGTGGCAGAGATTGAGATTGAAATATGCGGATTGAATTTGGATCTGGTTTGTTGGATGGGAGTGATGAATCAGCTTATCAATGAGGGGTCTTTTGGAGTAAAAAGATAAGATGAGATTATTGAGAGAATAGAGGAAACAATATTAGACAATGAAGTAATTGAGATGATTTATTTTAAAGTTCAAATTTGGAATGAAAGATTGTTTGATGAATTACCTGGTAGATTTCATTTGGATTTCATTGCCATGAATTTGGTTGACGCGTTGAGATAAGACGAGAGAGAGATCGCGTTTGCGCGTAAATTGATTTTGGTGGTAGGCTCATGGGCAAGGATGAATGGGTAGTACCTATATCTAACCTCACTCAAGCTTTTTTAGTAACGGAAACGGTAATCTTACCTTTCCTTACTTCTTCTAGCTACAGGACTGGGGAAAGGGAAGGGGAAATCATCCCTGACGATCCATCAAACATCCATATTTACACATTTATCTATCGTAGAACGCGTAGGTAGGTAGCTAGACGTTTCTATTCTTGTTTCAAAGGCTTCCTTCCACCGTGCTTGGACCGTATGTTTCTCGATCATGACTATGGAAAATACTCATGAGAAGTGATGATTTGAATGTCTGTTTTTAGATGGAATAAATGATCAAGTATATAAAAACATGGATTTTGGAGAGGAAAAGCCATTTGAGAAGATACCTGCTAGGTATCTAGGTAGGTAGTATTGATGTGCACAATTGTATTAAGGCTCGCAACTTTTTGAGTACAGTAGCCCAGTAGCCCAGTAGGTACTACCTAGGTAGGTAGGTCGTGTTATCGCTGATAGCAAGATTGAGTTGCCATTTTGTTTCAACTCAGCCTCTAAGTTCGCGGTCGAAAAAGAAGGTACACAGTGGTCAAAACCAACATTTCATGGTTCAAAATGGACTTCATTCCTTCTTCAATGTGAGTCTGGAACGCCATTTCTCTTCTTTTGACTTTCGTCCTTAATCTTAGTACCCCTAGTACATGAAGCTATTCGAGATAGAAGCTACGCTAAACTAGGCAATGACGATTGACATTCAATTGACATTGCGAGTAGAATGACTTTGGATTAACATTGCATTAGCATTCCTTCGAACTTCGCTCTTTCTGATTCTTTTGCCGCAGCAGCATTGAATCAACATAACAGGTTCAAACTTTATAAAAGAATCAAACAATACAATACTGTCAGATAACACCACTACCTACTCGAATGCCCACAATGGACTCAACAAACGAGTCCAAGGTCGCGGAAGTCGCGACCGACGACCACATAACTACACGATTGCTACGATTTGTTTCTACGGCCTCGAATGAGCAGCTTATTTTGGCAGCTCTTGCTTTGTCATTCGGCATATACATAATCATCGATGGACTGTTTCTTCTCCTCCTTGGAGGCCTAGGCGGTGTCATCTTACATACAATTTTTACGGAGAAAAGTGCTTTGGCTGTGCGAGAAGAAGCAGTCAAGCCAAAAGACATTCAGTATGAATTGGTTGAGGCTGGCGCGGGAATCAACTTCGAGAGTTTCCGACCTAAGACTGCCACTGCGTTAAACGACTTAGTTGATGCCGTCATCCGGGATTATGTCAAGTATTGGTACAGTCCTATACTCCCAAACGATGAAGCATTCCCCATTGCTGCGAAATCAACCCTCACGAGGTTCATTCTATCGATGTCTCAGCGTTTGTCGAGAAAGCGACCTGCCGACACATTCCTCGATTTCCTTACCAACTCGTCTTCCATCACCATTGTCTTTCTCAATGAGTTGGCGAATGCAACTTCTGCGACCCCAGGAACAAGCCGGCCTGTCGGAGAGATGGTGACCGCTTATTTGAGTGCAAACCCAGATAGCAGTCTGGCCAATATTATGAATGAGAGACAGCAGAAAATAAAGTTTACAATGGCAGCAGACGATCTTCTGCGAAGCTTCCTTGAGAAGTCAGTCTATGAATCCGGACCAGCCAGAATCTTTCTAAGGGAGATCCTAGCTGGGGTCGTCTTAGAAATGACTCTAAAAAGTTGTTCTAAGCCGGAGTTCATCAACGGATGGATTGTATACCTCTTGGAAGACGGAGAGCCTGGATTGGGACAGGCAATTGATGAAGCCATGGACCGTAGAAATATCCACGATCCATTCTCCGACATTGATGGTAACGTCGGAAATATTAGTATTGCTAGATCCCCTAAGAAACAAAGGCATCAAAGGCAAATATCGGATGAAGACGCCAACAATGAAGCTATGGCAGAAGCGAAGAGACTCAGCATGTTGATTGCTGCAGAGGATGCAAAAAAACTTGCGCAAATCGATGATTTCAAGGACCAAAAAAACAAAATTCTTGACGATCAAAATATCAAAGAGAATATACAACCGGAATCAGTTCCTGTCTCATCAACAAACGGCATTCCGCCCCACACCCCTATCACAGACTCAAGATCTTCTCTGTCTGGATCTGATACGAACAGCAGATCTCCTATGTCTCCTGACTCGAAGCAAGCTCTATCGCCTACAACCCCGCAGACCACTTCCTCGTTTACCAGCTTCGACCAGATCGTGCCCCCCACACCTGCCGCATTATACTCAAATGAAACCTCACCTCAGAGAAGCAAGCCAGTGCCTCTAACCTTACATAATGCGAACATCATTATTTATGATGACTCAGTCGCTTCCGATAAAGGAAGGATCAAGAACAAACCTACAATGGACTATATGGTCCAAATTGAACCACAGTCATCGATCCATCCCGGATGGATGATTGTCCGAAGATATTCGGATTTTGAGATCTTGCATGAGGTACTTGGTCGAATCGCTAAAGTTTCGGGTGCGAATCCTTTCATTGAGAAACACCAAGATTTACCAAACTGGAAGACCCTCACCAAACCATTGCTACGCGGTGAATTGGAACAATATCTGAAAGATGCTCTCACGCACCAGCCACTTGCTGAAACCGAGGGCATGAAACGATTCTTGGAAAAGGATCAAGGCACAATGCCGGCAACATCTGCAAAAGCTGGCTTTAACTGGCCTACATCTTCTCTTGAGAACATGGGTAAAGGCGTTTTTGATACACTTAAAAGCGCTCCGAAGGGGGCAGCTGCTGGGGTCACAGGAGTTTTCAGCAACATTGGATCACTTGCACAAAAGAGAACCAGTCAAAGTAGCTTGCACTCTCAAAACCGTATCTCGACACCAGCATTGTCAAGAGTGGATAGTATGGCATCTCAGAGTAGCTTGCAATCCCAAAATCGTATGTCAACACCGGCTCTGTCAAGAGTGGATAGCATGGCCTCATCAAATGGTTCCTCATTTGAACAAAAAAGGGGTAGATTGAGCGAGGAGAGCATGAAAGCAGCTTCAGTTGTCTCACATCCTGGAAAGACTGCATCTCTCGGACGAAAGTTAAGCCGTGGTTCTATTCCAGGCGCTGAGGAGGAGTCTGGTATTAGAACTAGAGGATCATCTGTAAGCAGCCATATGAGCACCGCCTACAGCCCGTCAAACAGTCGTGAGCCTAGTCAAGCTCCATCAACATCCAGGTTACATTTGCCGCCACCACCTACTGAGATGCCCGATGATTATACTACCCCAATTGACGGGTCGTTGAATCAGTCTAGGCCGGTGAATGAGAGTAACGGTGCAATCACAGCACCAAATGAGAAAAACCTTACCCCAGTCGAGAAGTCATTGCACCAAGATGTGCTTAACAATGACAATAGCGTTGCACCTACACCAGCAAATGAGGGAAAGCCTGCCCTAACCGAGAAGCCCTTAAACCAGGACATTCTGGGCAGTGACAAGAACCAAACACCTATACTATCAAAAGAGAAGAAAACCGCCCCACTGAATGAGGAAGAAACCAAAGTAGCAATCGAGCTCCTCTTCGCCATGATAACAGAATTATATACTCTGTCTTCTGCTTGGACCTTCCGACGCACACTCCTCACTGCCGCGAAAACATTTCTTCTTCGTCCAGGAAACCCTTCTTTATCCTCTATTCAAGGTCTCTTGCAAGACTCCGTTATCTCGGCCTATACTTCCGATGCGGGAATCGCTTCTTCCATTCAAAAGTTGAGAGAAAATGGCTTACCTACAGAAGCCGAATTGAAAGCCTGGCCAGAAGAGATGACAGCAGAGAAAAAAGAAAAGATGAAGACTAAAGCAAGAAAGCTTCTAATAGAGAGAGGCATGCCTATTGCCCTAATGGGGGTGATGGGGCAAGCAGCTACCGGAGAAGCGTTAGGGAAAGTGTTCGATGCATTGCAGACGGAAGATATTGCACGGGGTCTGGTTTTTGGTCTGTTACTCCAAGGGATCAAGGCTATAACACAGTAAAAGACGGGACATTGAAAGAGTTAGAAACACTACGAAGAGATGAGTCATTGAAAAGCATAATTAGATACCACTGTTACGTAGCACTATTAATCAACGAGAAATGAAAAATGAAAAATGAAATTATTAAAAAAAACAAGACTTACTTCGTTTTAAGATACACCTGCAATGACTGCAATCATTCCCTAGTCTGAAAATACTGCACATTTGTTCCTAGGAGAGTGTTCCATGGTCACCACAACAATCCATCTGGTATGCCAAGCTGACAATGGGAACTAACTTACTGATTAAGATACCTATTAAGAATGACATTAAAGTACATATATCTAAAGTTCAACTTCTTTCATCTCGGGCTGGATGGGGATACAATATTTTGCAGGCTACAGGAAATCAGAATGAAAGGGCTGGCGAGTATCTTCTTACGCTTCTTCTTCTTCTTCTTCTTCAGGCTATGTAGATATACAAGAAATTTAATGAATAAGACCTCTACAAGCAGAAAAATATGGAAAGACACTTTTCTCACAAGTAATCACAACTGTCACTCATCGAGATATGCAGCGACAGAGACAGATCTGTGGGGAATAAGAGAGACGATTCTTACACATTGGCAAACCCCCTTTCCTGTCCTGTCCTGTCCTGTCCTGTCCTGCGGACGATGTGGAAAAATAAAATGTGCGATAATAGGTTGAGGAGATGGAAGGAGATTGTTTGGAGAGCTTTCTAGCATTTTGTGGGGTTGAGATGGGGAGTTGTGTGGCAAAAGATGATGCGGAGATTTGGAGATTTGGTGGTGAGATGGCAAGTGAGTTTTTAAGGGGAATCGGGGATCTGGATTGTGGATCTCTATGTAACATATATTGCAACAAAGGAAAGGAGTATTTTTAATGAATGTGCCTGAAGGAGATGTCTGAATGTCAATGTAGTGAGATTTTCACATATTGTATGAAAGGCGATGCTTTTAGAAATCGTTAGATGTAGCGTCTGCGAGATCTCCTGTATGGATATATTAGATTCACAAATTTGAGAGCTCAATTCTCTCTTTCTTCTGGCGAAACCCACATTCAAAATTGGTTCAGAAGCAAGAAGTGCGTTTATCCTATTCATTCATAATATTCATCGCCTAACCCCGTATTTTTACACCATAAAATTACTTCTCCATTGGCGAAAATAAAGAAGAGTGATAGTCCTAGCTATCCTATATATCATCTCCAGCTCATCCATAACTTTACAGATCCCTATCGTTCCTGCGCGAATACCCACGACGAAAATTCAAAGCCAATCCATTCATATAACACACATAACTCCTTCCCAGTTCCTTCCCGATTCATTATTCCATTACTCTGTAGCTAACCATCGTTCCGACCTTATGATTAGCCGTACTGAAACTTCTCAATTGGACTTTCTCTCCATTCACAATCTCTCTCGCATCACTATCTCCCCATTCCATTGGAACCTCACTGTCTGCATCTGCGTAGACCAGAACATTAAATGTGCATGCGCCATCCAGTTCTGGCAAAAATGTAACACTAGCCGTAATCTGTCTGAATATCGATTGAATCTCTAATTGGATTTCTGCTTCGGTTTTCTCGGGAGCGGGTGCGGGTGCAGGTGCTTCTCCCTCTGTGGGTGCATTTTCGGATGTGGATGGTGTAGTAGAGAATTTAGATTTGGATGATTTCTTGGAGGGTTTGTTGAAGATTTCAACATCAAATTGCCAGCGTTCAACATCTTCGCCGGTTTCTTTGGAAGTAATCACGACGATTAGTTTGGTAATCTTTCCGTTTATCATCCATTTGTCGAGTTGGGACATAATTTTCTTGATGTAGGCTTTGACTTGGTCATCCGAGGAAACTGTTGAAGTGGAGTCAGTCCTGCATATAGCATGGTGATTATGGGGGAGTGAGAGATGAGGGGTTGAAATGTTAATATTGTTTAAGGAGTACAAACCAAGCATTGTGAGGCCATATTTCTTGACTCTGTAAAGAGATAGTTAGTTGAAATTTCATCAACTACGACATGAATTGGATAGACAAACGCTGAGAAGTCTTCTGCGGGGTATACACCTCGCTGAAAGCTGTGAAACTATTAGTTATTTGTAGACCATTGGCAGACGAATCAAAACTTACAGAATAGTATTTATTGAGTATTGGAACTGGGCAGGTTAGTTTCCCTCCTTCAGATTGAACATCCAGTACTCACAAATTCCGCAACGAGTTTCGAAGAACCTATAAGTTATTAGCCCTGCAATTTGACTTTCACGGAGTTTGACCTACCTTTCAGAGAGAGTTTGTGAGTTTTCGCCTTGTCCGATTTGTCAGACTTATCTTTTGACTTTGTGGTTGCTTTTGTAGCTGCTTTTGTGGTTGGCTTTGTGCTCGACATATTGACTATAGTTCAGGAAGATGATTATGTTCTACAACCTGGCGGACCTTCTTAACTATGTGTCTCTGATAAAAAGAAAGTAAAGAGCCCAAAATAATTAATCGGTTGCTTCAGCGACCGCGGCATCGGGAAGTTCCGTCGCAAGCAAAGCACCCAAAATTAAATTTCCCCAATCCTCAACCCCGCGTCCTCATGCTGTGAAGCCCACTCCACAAATGCAGCGATGTCCATTGAACCTGCTTAGGCTTCCCAGCACTATCAGATCTCAATATGCATCCCACTTCCTTCCTCTCTCCTTCCCGCGAACATTCACCACATCGGTAACACGATATGCTATTGCCAAGAAAATCGTAGGGGATCTAGAACGTCGCATCCAAGCTATACCTATTGAACGATTCCGGAACTTCTGCATCGTAGCACATGTAGATCATGGAAAAAGTACACTTAGTGATCGATTACTCGAATTAACAGGCACGATCCAACCTGGTGGCGATAAACAGATCTTGGATAAGCTGGAAGTGGAACGGGAAAGAGGTATTACTGTTAAGGCGCAAACATGTAGTATGTTATGGAATCATGAAGGGGAAGATTATCTACTTCATTTGGTCGATACACCGGGACATGTGGACTTTCGAGCAGAGGTTTCGAGGTCTTATGCCAGCTGTGGAGGAGCACTGTTACTAGTAGATGCAAGTCAGGGAGTACAAGCTCAAACGGTTGCGAATTTCTATCTGGCATTTTCACAGGGTTTGACATTGGTACCAGTGGTTAATAAGGTGGACTTACCGACTGCGGACTCGCCGAGGGCATTACAGCAAATGGAAGAAGCATTTGAACTAGAGCCCGAGAATGCAGTTTTGGTCAGCGCAAAGACAGGATTGAATGTTCCAGCCATCCTTCCAAATGTTATTAAACAAATCCCAGCACCAGTTGGCGATCACACTAAGCCGCTGAGGTTATTGTTAGTAGATTCATGGTACGATAACTACAAGGGCGTTATTCTACTGGTTAGGATTTTCGATGGAACGATCAAGGCCGGTGACCAAATTGTGAGTTTTGCAACCGGAATCAAGTATTTCGTGGGTGAAGTAGGAATCATGTATCCGGATCAGACACCTCAAACTATTTTGAGAGCTGGGCAGGTTGGATATATCTACTTCAACCCTGGTATGAAGAAAAGTCAGGAGGCTCTAAGTGGTGATACCTATACCACTGTTGGCTCAGAACATTTAGTCGAGGCATATCCTGGCTTTGAGGAGCCAAAGTCTATGGTCTTTGTGGCAGCTTTCCCAGTTGATCAGAGCGACTATCATCATTTGGAAGAATCCATCAATCAAATCGTACTCAACGACAGAAGTGTAACTTTACAAAAGGAATCTTCAGAAGCACTTGGTGCAGGATGGCGTTTAGGGTTCCTTGGTACGCTTCACTGCTCGGTATTCGAAGATCGTCTCCGTCAAGAGCATGGCGCAAGTATCATCATCACACCACCCACTGTGCCCTTCAAAGTGATCTGGCGCGATGGGACAGAATCCATCATCCAAAACCCCGCCCTCTTCCCCGAACAAGAAACCACCCATCAACGTGTCCAAGAACTTCAAGAACCCTACGTCTCAGCAACCATCACCCTCCCCGAAGAATACCTCGGCAAAGTAATCGAACTCTGCGAATCAAACCGCGGCGAGCAAGTCGATCTCACCTTCTTCACCGCCACCCAAGTAATTCTCAAATACGACATCCCCCTCGCCCAACTCGTCGACGATTTCTTCGGAAAACTCAAAGGCGCGACAAAGGGTTACGCAAGTCTCGACTATGAAGATGCAGGTTTCCGCAGGAGTAGTATCGTGAAACTCCAACTGCTCGTTAACAAAGGTCCAGTGGATGCTGTGGCAAGAGTAGTACATACAAGTCAGACGGAAAAGATAGGTAGACAATGGGTTACAAAATTCAAAGAACATGTTGACAGACAAATGTTTGAGGTTATTATTCAGGCGCAAGCGGGAAAAAGAATTGTCGCGAGAGAAACGCTTAAACCATTTAGAAAAGATGTGTTGCAAAAGTTACACGCAAGTGATATCGGGAGAAGGAGAAAGTTATTGGATAGACAGAAGGAGGGAAGAAAGAAGTTGAAGGCGGTTGGCAATATTGCAATTGAGCATGAGGCTTTCCAGAAATTTTTGGCGAAATAAAAGGGGGTGTAGACGAGCTTAATGAATGAATATATGTATCGAATACCACACTTTTTTTATACAACGTGTCATTAATTTTGAAACAAGAGTAGGTATGCTTTCATTTCCGATCATCCTGTCCTAATCTTATCCGGGTATTTCACACTCCCATCCTAAAAATTATCCACATTCGCCATCATCCCTTGGGACTCCCATTAGCTTCAGTTCCAAAAGTATCGAATTACTATTCAATACTACCCAGCCCAACAACCTTAAATTATACAATCCAGTCTAAAACCCAAAACGCTATGCACCTTCTTTCGAATTCCACTCAAAGGTATCGAAGAGATAGAAACGCCATTCCCGAGACCCATCGATCCGTCATTTCGTGTGTCCGACTGAACCATTCATATGTATATAAACCCATTCATCACTTCCGACATGTATTAAGAGAACCCGTTCAATCTTGAGCGCGTTCCTTTCCCTTTTCTCTCTTATCAATATTCTCATTTTCTTTCCCATCAATGCTTCCCCTCTCATCCCCCTCCTCCCCTTCCATAACCTTCCCATCAAATTTCGCATCTTTGGGTCCACTCCCATCCAAGCCTTCCCAATTCCCATCCCATCCTTTTTCATTATCCACTGCCCCAATCGTTTCTCCTTTCTCGGCCATACGTCGAACGTCACTCCAATATTCCAATCTTTTGACTTCTTCGTCTGCAGCTTTGAGTGCTGCTTCCAGATTCTTGGAACGTTGTCTTTGTTTCATACTCGCACTGTCGCCCTCGATTTCGTTCCCTTCCTCTTTATTACCCTCCTCAACCTCCCCACCCGATTCCTCAAATTCCTTCATCAATCTCGCCAGCAAAATCCGTCTACTCGCCTGAAAGATGAACATATTCATAATCTCATGCATGTGTTCTGGCTTTGTTAGATAATGCAATTCCTCACCCCCATGTTTGATAAAACTCTCCACTGCTTCCATTTTCTCTCTATCGATTCGACAAATTCGGAGCACTTTCATTAGAGTTGCAATATTACTTATTTCCTCGACCTTCCACTCGGTTTCGTAATTGCGGCTAGAGGCTGCTAAACTGTTCCGACTTCGACCATCTGCCTCTAAAGCATGGGGGCCTGTAAGAGTTGTTGCGCGACTTCTGCTACGGGGCTGGTAAATTAAATCAGTATTGCTGAAAATCATAATTGGAGGAAATCTTGGATTTCGTGTTCAATCTAATGACGATAATGGATAATAATAGAGTGAGTACTCACTGGATGTATAGTAAAATAATCATCATTGAGCATGTGAGCATGTAGTGGCATATGTCCCTTTTTGACTCGTTTTCGAATCCATACTCTTCTTCGAACAAATGAGCTATACCATTTGGCATTATGCCATGACCATTTCTTGGAGAAAGCGAAAGAATATTCCCACCCTTCATCATCGACCTAATTCACATCGACAGTTAGTATGTATTCCAAATAGCACAGCCATAGATAGTTGGCGATCAAGTCCAAATTTCAGCCTGGTGATCCAAGTCCCGAAGTTGTAGATATGCTTACCCCGTCATCATGATTGACAATCCACTCCGGCCACGCCCATTCCCAACTTGGATCCGGTACTTGTGCATTCGAAGTATCTGTCAAGCTGGGCTTATTCGTAATCTTGGTCCAAGGCGCGGCATCCAGAATCCCCAATGCTTGACCAGAAAACATATGCAATCCACATAGAATCAACCCTCGTTCGTTCTCATATAAGATATCAATCTCGTAAGGCAGTTTGTCCTGTTCCTGTTGAGCTTTTGTTCTTCTTCGAGTTCGGCCCCGATTTTCTTCATCAACGGCATCATAGACTTCTGGAGGTATGGTTCTGCAAAGATGGAGTTAGTAAATTGCACACACGAATGGTATCAAATAATCGCATACACCATCGAGTTGACTTTAACAGGACTATCTTCAATTTCATCTGCGGCAACATGCGCGTCCCTATATTTCTTCCATTTCCTCCTCGTCAACTCCGCTCTCAAAGACCTCTTTCTCCTCAATGGCTCATCAGCTCGATCCCTCGACGATGAATCTGTTACAATTATCGCTGGCAGATCATCAATCTTGACCTGGCCTCTTCTTGAACGACTCCGACTCCGACTCCGACTCCGACTTTGAACCGCATTTGGATCTGCATGATCCACTAATCCGATTTCATGATCATAATCAGCATCAGTCAGTGGTTGAGGTCTCTTATTCTTGGATTGAAAAATGGACATTCTCTCGATTTCACGAGAACTGCATAGCCGTTGAATTGAGTTGCGCTTCTGTTGGCTGGCTGGCTGGCTGGATGGTTGGTCGTCTTCCTCTCCCTGAAACTAGAAATAAAATCGAAGCTGGTCTTGTTTTGGTTAAAGATGCTCGTATCGAGAACCTAAAATCTAGATTGCTGATAGCCCGGCCAAGCTATCAAATGGGTCACTGTGTAATGAAAGCAAATCCCCCCCAGGAATTCCTTGATTAATTTCCAATAAAAGAGAGTTGTAAATGGAATTTTGTTGCACGTCTGTTCCAAGTTTATTTTGTTGGAATAATCGATGTACAATTGAAATGTCCAAAAACCATGTACGGAGCAAGTGTGTATCAGGTAACTACCAACTACCTACCTACCTATCCAGTCTAGCTACCTATCTAAGCAGTTAGACTCAGTCTGGATCAATTGAGGAAGATGGGAGAACTGGTGAACGGATTGGGAGAAATCATTGGTGCTGACTACTAACAAGTAGCTTTGATACTTGCGCGCCCCCCGTTTTGATGACGCGCTAGGATACTTCACTTTGGCATCCTGGTATCTGTATCTGTATCTGATCCCGGTACAGATCTTCCATGGTTGATGAGTGAGACGAACGGGAAAGTGGCTTGAGAGTGAATGCTGCTTTTGTTGGAAAGACATACGAATGAAACATATGGATACCTCCACTACCTAGGTATATCTTCATTTTGATGTATTCAATTGTTCACATCGACTTTGATAGCTACATGTTAAGCATTCTCTATCTGTTATCAAACACTCGGTAAAAAGGATTCCAAATAACATCTCCAACCAATCTTATTACATTGATCCTCTTTTCCCCCAAGAACAAAGCAAATGGACTACCTGGGTAATAACCTTTACCAAAGCACAATCCCGTGACCCCCCTCAAATAGCACCGCCACATCCCCCGCCGCTTTCATCCCGAGCTTTCATCCAGTCTTGACCAGGATAGCTAACCTATGACGTTACACTTCCCCCTCATCATCCAAGAAACATCATATCATCGAAAAGAAGAGAAGAGAAAAAGGGAAAAAGAAGGAGCAACATCGTAATAGTTTCATAAACAAGAATTCACCAATCAAACCATCACCTACAAAAATCTCCCGTACTACCTTTTCTTATTTCAAGAACTTCTCCCTTCCTTCCACTTCCTTTGAACATAAACATTACAAAACTTTCATCTACTTACAAACAAAACTTCCTCAACAATCAACAAACAAACACACTCAATCTCAATCTCAATCAATCTATACATATCACAATGGCTCAACGCAGTTCCCGCGCTCCTCTCTACATTGGTCTTGCCGCCGCCGGTGGTGTAGGTTATTATTTGTACAGCGCCGGAGGAAGTCCCAAGGTTGCTGAGAAGCAATTTGAAAGTATGTATTCCTATTCCCATTTTGCCTCATAACCCCCCTCCCCTCCATCCAATATCGCCACCAAATATCCACAATTACAAATCCCTCAAACTCCTCCATCTCACAACACAACATTATGTACCTCCGCATTGAGTAAATAACTAACAAGAATACCCAAATAGGTGATCTCTCCCGTGCTTCCGCAAAAGTAAAGTCCGAGATACCAGGTCGCACCACACAAGCTCAAAAGGAAGCCGAGAAATGGGGTTCCGAGGCTGGTGCTAAGCTTGATTCTGCTGTATGTCTATCACCTCTACCTTTCTAGCCTCCCATCCCCCTTACCCTATACTATCTCACAGCTTCTTACTCCCACTCTCACTCCCACAAACAACTAACTCCCCACCCACAGACCAACCAAGCCCGCGCCGAACTCGCCAAAGCCGAAGGAAAATTCGAGCAATACAAGAACGACGCTGCCCAAACCACCATGAAGAAAATTGACGAAGTAGACCGCAAAGTCGAGGCCGAAGCTGCCAAGGCCAAGAGCGGTATTTCCAGTTGGTTTGGCGGGAAATAAATGCCCCAAGTACTGTACTAAGAAGAACAAGATGTTTATGCTCGCAAGCGAGCTAAGACATATGCAAAATATCAAATTGTGATGTCGTTAATGGGTAATGATGATATGGCTTCAAACGCACGACGCGAGAGATAGTCACTTGTTTTTTTAATATGGCGGATACGGATGCATGGTTTTGGAATGGGACTTCTATGGAGGAAAGGATCTCTTCTTCGCAAGTTAGTTAATGATGCCCGCATGATGATGGGAGTTGTATGATAATGATAAAATCACCTTTCAATCCAATCTAAGATGATTCACATTTGCTCACGGTGCTCTCGTAAAATAATCCCTTCACAATATTTATAATCTATTTTTATTTCTTTCATTCTTTCATTTGTTTCTCCCCAATTGGTTGTTGTGAACCAATGCTTCTCGGCTCTCTATCAAGCAAAACCGGATTTGTAAACCTTACTTCGCTAGCAAATATCATAAGTTCCAAGAGTCTTCCTTTTTCTCTCTTCTATTCTGCAAAAACTCCACACCTTTTTTTGCACACCCCATCACCAAATCGCTCGCTAAATATAACTTCATATTTCTTTTCATAACCATCTATTGGTAATTCTTTATGGTGCAGCTGCAGGAGGAGGAGCTTGCTCTTCCGCAACCTTTCCTCTCAAAGGAATTTCAGTCTCAACACCAGCAGCTTTAGCTGCTCTCTCCGCTTCCTTCTTTGCCTTCTTTCTCTCCTTATCTCTCGCCTTATCCGCCTTCTTCTTTGCTTGGGCTTCTTCCTCTGCTAATCTAGAAGCTTGTGTTCCTCCATATTGCTTTCTCCATTCATCGGCCTTCTTCTCATCAATACGTGTGAAGAGGTATGCTGGTTTGCCGATTTTGTGACCGCTCTTGAGAACAGCTGGGTTCCATTTATCGGGGATGGAGATGAGTGGGGCGGAGAGTTGAGAAACGATGGACTCGGATGTTGAGGGCATGAAAGGTGATGTGATGGATGCGATGAGGTAAGCGAGATTGAGAGCGAGTCCGATGACGGTGTGAGTTCTCTCTGGGTGTTCGGCAAGGTTGGCATTATCTAGACGATATTGAAGAAGGTTGTTTCCGCTGGTAGAGATCTTCATGACCTGATCTAAACCGACGCGAATCTTTACAGCTTCCATGTCGTTGTTATAGTCTTTTAACTGAGCATTGATCTCCTCGATGAAAGCAGGGGCATCGAACTTCTCATCCTTGTATTCTGGAGAGAATTCTGGAATAACTCCATCCATCTTTGCATTGACAAATTTGACAACTCTGTTGACGAAGTTACCCAAGTTGTTTAGCAAGACAGAATTATTCAATTGAATGAAGTTTGCCCACTCAAATTGCGAATCTGCAGTCTCAGGTCGATTCGACAATAGGTAATATCTCCATACGGATGGTGGAACGCCAGTATCCTTTGCAGTGTCACCAAAAACACCTACACCTCTGGATTTGGAGAACTTGCCATTCTCGTAGTTCAAATATTCAGTTGTGGAGAGATGGTTGAGTTTTGTCCATTTATCTCCAGTTCCCAACTGAGATCCGGGGAAAATAACCGTGTGGAATGGAACATTATCCTTGCCCATGAATTGGTAAAGCTTAACGTTCTCTGGATCGCGCCACCAAAGCTCCCAATCCTTTGTGTAATTTGCAGTAATCGATGGATATCCAATACAAGCATCAAACCAAACGTAAAGAACCTTGTTCTCATAACCTGGCAAAGGAATTGGTGTTCCCCATTTCAAGTCTCGAGTAATACTTCGTCCTTGCAATCCTTGCTTGAGCCATGAATTCGTGATACTGATACCATTCTTGGGCCATCCTCCTTCCTCACTTGATTTGTTAAACCACTCCTCAATCGCAGGTTGGGCTTTGTCGAGAAGTAAAAAGATATGCTTCGTCTCGCGTGGAATTGGAGTAGCACCATCGACCTTGCAAACAGGATTGATAAGCTCCAGAGCGTCAAGGAGACTACCGCATTTATCACATTGATCACCTCGTGCATCATCGTATTGACACTTAGGGCAAGTACCTTCAACAAAACGATCCGCAAGGAAAGATTGATGCTTTTCGCAGTAGGGCTGTGTAGTTGTGCGCTCCTCCAAGTACCCGTTCTTATGTAATTTCATGAAGATATCTTGTGCGATGATCGTTTGCTGTTCCGTAGTCGTCCTTCCGAAGTAGTCAAACCCAATCTCAAACCAGTCGTAAACATCCTTATGTTTTTTGTGGAATTCATCACAGAGCTCCTTGGGAGTCTGCTTAGTTTCTAAAGCCTTGACTTCCGTAGCAGTACCATACTCATCGGTACCACAGATATAGAGGGTTGGGCGATCTCTCAGCTTGCTATAACGGGAGAATACGTCGGCGCTCAGCACACTACCAACGATATTTCCAAGATGAGGAACATTGTTCACATATGGTAAGGCACTGGTGATTAAGATATTGTTCTTGCCCTTCTCGGGTAGGATAATGTTTGGAGTCGTCATTTTGATTGTTGTGTTGGGAAGGAAACCTCAAGAGAAAGAACCCCGCTGTGGATTTTATCAATGTTACTCGGGTGAGGGTGAGGGTGAGTCAGGCTTTGGCGGGGTCCCTTCTTATGTAATCCAACGGAACGCATTTCTTTCACCTCACGATTAACAAGCAACTCACCAGGAAATAGTCTCAGTGCTCAAAATATTCAAGAAAACATATCTAAATCAGAAGGAAAAGTTTCGTTCTAGCCAAAATCCGAGTCGAAGTAATATATTGCGGGTTTTGATATACGAGTTTCAAACGTCTGCTTCATAATTTGCTCAGGAGTACATCAAATCACATCACTCACCAAAATGGCCACTACCGATCCTTTTGAAGATATCCTCAACCTTGAGGAAGAATTTTATTCCACCGGCTACAATCAAGGGCTCTCGGAAGGTATAACCGCCGGTCGCATAGAAGGGCGGACTTTCGGACTTGAGAAAGGATTTGAAAAATACGTCGAAATGGGTCGACTACACGGAAAATCCATCGTATGGGCCAACCGAACCCCTTCTTTTCAAAAGTTCAAAATCTCCACAATCTCAAGCCCAGAGCTCAAGCAGGAGAATCAGACAAAAGAAGGAGAGAAATCACATAATCTCAAATTGTCTGAACTGGCCAAAAATGAAAGATTGGCAAAGCATGTAAAAGTATTTCATGCATTAGCGGAAGCAGAAAGTTTGTCGACAGAGAATTCGGAAGAAGCGGTCGGCGATTTCGATGATAGGTATAAGAGGGCAGTGGCAAAAGCGAAAATTATTGAGAAGATGGTTGGGGAAGGACAAGGACAAGGAGGGGCGAAAAGTAGTGGAGATGGGGCGATTGAGGATGTTAGTGTTATGAGGGCTAGATGAGGTTCTTTCAATGGGTTTCAACCCTCGTAAAGCTGGAACTTGTGGTATAAGTACACGGGGTCACACAAATCACGGACTTCGTGGAAGAAGCATTGGGATGAAGACATGCTTGATTTCAGACTTGGTAGCGCTGCTACGCAAACTTTGTTGTGCCGGGTGGTTCCAGTAGAGCTGGAAAGCAACGGGGAGCGATTATTGAGCCTCATATTGACCCCCCTCGGGGCTAACTACAGATGGCTATCAAACCAACTATCGCTTTTTGAGCAACTTAGAGTAATTTCGGTTACATCAAAGATCGAAAGATTCGCTGTAAATCTCAGAAATGGGAGAGATGGTACCGTATATCCATAATCCGGGCCCGTGGGGGTGGAAAAATGTCTCTGCGGCAAATGGGACTTGGGGTTGGTGGATCACGTGGTTGGAACACCAGAAATGGGAGTACTCTGTCGTTGCGAAGGCTGGGGGAAAAGTAGGGGTAGAAGTTAAAAGGACCCGAGTTGTATTCAAGACCTGGAAGTCCCTAGATCCTTCTCATATTTCACGAGCGTTAATTGCAATTCACATCAATTCACTTCAGTATCGTCATCAATATGAAATCAAATCTGATCCATTGTACGCCTTGTTGTATTTGCACATAAGTGACTTTCCATACACTGATGGTCCCCCATAAGTTCCCTAGTGTTGCACCTGTACCTTGTTTTTGATCCAGATATCTTACAAAGACTTCACCATACCTAAAAAAAATGTTGATAAAGTTTACCCCAAATCATAACCCAGAACGCCCCCAGCCTCAAGGACTGTCAAAGTCACTGTGCATACCACCAGACTCCCCAAAAATAAAGCAATACTTATTTTATTATGCATCACTTTCAGTCTCTGCGGCCACGCGCAGGTCATAACTAAGCTCAAAGCATTCTGCAAGGAGATCAGTGACGCTGCCTTGGCCTTCAGGAATATCTGGTCCGACCATGAATTTGCCGTCTACACGCATGTTGTCGATTGAATTCAACTACAGTAATATATCAGCATAGTCAAGGCACATAGGAAAGTTAAAGGATATCCTACCTTCATGCTGTAAGGATATAATTCTCTTGGAGAACTGACTCCGCCGGAATTCTTGACTTCAATGAGACATCGCCTCAGAGTTTGAAGTTGGTTATAAACCGGAAGAAGTGCTTCAGAAACTGGCTCGGAGGACACCATGAGAAAATAAATATAAGCATAGCTACGTCGAATTAAATAGAGTAAAGTCTAATGTGGTTAGTTTACTTTTTTTTTTCTAAAAAAAAAAAGAGAGAGAAGTGAAATGTACATACCCGCTGGACATATAATTCGGCAAATTTTCCTTCAGCATCAACGAAATTACCGTCTACTCTGCTCTCGTCGATTCTGTCCAATTGTCGCTGGAAGTCGTACAAATCAGTTTCCCTCAATGACCAGGCTTGAGTCAAAGATAGCTTCTCGAGTTTGTTTCGAATCTCAACTAGAACGGAATATGGTCCTTGAAAGGCTTCTGGAAATTGTCCCTTTCTGATTGATCGTCAGTTGAACTGTGGGTTGAGAATATATCTAAAAACCAACCTTTCCAGCACAACTTCCGCCCACTTCAAACACCTTTCTAGATATTCACAAACTTCATCATTTCCTGGAGGTGTTTCCCCAGAGGCTGTTACAAACTTTCCATCAACTCTTTGAGAATCAATCTCTTTTATTTGATTTTGCAGCTTCGTCACTTCTGTTGTCGAAAACTAATTCCAGATCACAATCAGCATGGCGCTCATATGATTTCTCACTCAAGTCGAAGAGGGGGTCCATCATAACAATTATCTCACCTTAGCCCTGGTATTTGCCAATGATATTGATCTCAATATTGATATGATCTTTTCGTGAATGGGTAACAAGTCTGCACCAATTCGCTCCAGTCGTTTACTCAATTTCTTCAATGATCGCTGGCAGACATCGATTCTGTTACCGAGAAGAGTGAGAAGGAAGGGGGAGTAAGACGGCTTAGCATTCTTCACAATGCCTCCTAGCCTCTCGAGAGTCTGTGCAACGTGTGCTAAGTCCTTCTCGCAATACAGATCGACTTCGGTAAGGTGATCGAGTAGGCGCTTGATCGTGGATGTGAGGGAATAGGCTGCGGGTGCTTCGTTGGTTTTGCCAATGGTCATGAAGAATAGGGAGAGCAGTTGGAAACATCCATCCAACACGCGATCCACTGTAAGGTTCTCGATCAGTATCTGCATTATATGTCAACCTTCCACCTCTCACTACTAACCTCGGTTTGCTCATCAGGCTTATCGGCTCTTATCTCATTCAGAAGTTTAACTTGTTCAACTGCTTTGCCTTGCAGGACAAGTACATCTGCAGCCTTGATATACGTTGTTCTATCTTGCTTTAGAAGAGTCAATTCGTCCCGTATTGAAGTGAGCGCTTCCAATATAGGCTGCTCGCGAGGATCAAGGGGTAGCGGGTGGGATGGGGTATCAGTCATGATGAATGTTGTTGGGTGAGTTGAGGTCTGGACTTTGATGACTTGCTTGTATCTTGTTGGAAGACTTTAATCGTTTGATTCGTGTTTTTGAAAGTTGCAAATAATCGAAGTACTGATGATATAGTTTGAGCTTATTACTATCATTCGCTATTGATGAATCAGTAAGTTAGAAATCGATAGAATAGTGTTGATCCCAATAGGCTGTTTCTTAGTAAAGAGCTACTGGCTATGTCATAATATTTCCCTTATTGGATGGGTTGGAAGGCGGGGCAAGTTCCACAAAGAGAATCTCAGCCTTGCATTTACGGTGAACCAATTCTGATACCGATTTTTTGCTTGTGAAACCAGCGATAGCAATAAGGTCAAATCGCATGTCATGTGGTGTACCTTACATACACCTACCGTCGAGAGATGTTGTGATTCTCTGTACAAACACCATATCACAGTGCCTTGGCAAGCGACGACGAAGGTGAGCCAACAGTGAGACATCATGTTGATTGATGGAAGAGTATTTATTTAAGTATTGAATACCTACCTACCCAGTCTCCCAGTATATATTTTGTTATTCTATGTTGGAAATGTGAGAATTGGTAGAAATGAAAGATAGCAGATGATTAGATAATAAAAAGTTGCATGTGCATTTCATTGGTTAAAGTGGCTCCCCGTAAATTATCGCTTGCTGCCCAATTAAACCCTGACAAGATATTAGTCACGCACACTTTCGAATTTCCCAAAACTCTCCCACCATAAACTTTTAATCCTTTCCATCGACGACTTCAAGAACATCAACCTACCGACAAAACAACCATCTGTCGGTACGTCGCATATACGCAGTCGCATTCCCATTTACTGCGCCTCTTGCTAATTTATCAATTCTAGATATTCAAAATGTCTAACGCAGAACTCGCCAGCTCTTACGCCGCGTTGATCCTCGCCGATGACGGTGTCGATATCACTGTACGAATTCCTACATTCTCGAGATTGAGAAACGAGAATACTCGATTGGGGGGACAAGTGACTGACTAGATATTAACAGGCCGACAAATTGCAAACCCTCATCAAGGCCGCCGGTATTGAAGATGTTGAGCCAATCTGGACCTCATTGTTCGCCAAGGTATGCGATTGAAATTCACAAAACTGAGTTGAGGAATGAGCAACTATGGGCAGTGCTGATTGTTGGAATTAATAGGCTCTCGAGGGAAAGGATGTTAAGGACCTTTTGTTGAACGTCGGATCCGGTGGTGGAGCCGCTCCAGCTGCTGCTGGTGCCGCTGCCAGCGGTGACGCCTCTGCCCCAGCTGAGGAGAAGAAGGAAGAGAAAGAAGAGGGTACGATAATCCCTACAACCGCGCGCATTTCGGAGAGTTCATATACTAACTATTTCAATAGCCAAGGAGGAGTCAGACGAGGATATGGGTTTCGGTCTCTTCGATTAAATATCTATCTCACCTTTTCTCTCCGTACTTTCAAATGCATGGCCACGGTTTATATTCCCTCGGTGCAATATTGGGCTGGTAGGGTAGCTTCCATAAATAAGCAAGCATTCATGAATTCTTCCGAAAGATAAAAAACCTGGTTCCATCTATACTGCCGAGTGCATGAACACGCCGTGATTATGTATGATGAAGGTGGACTGAGATGTCAAAGAATGATATCGAACGAGCCTCATTCGAGGCTTCCAAGACATGTACTTTGGAGAAACAGATCGAAGAATCCAATTCAAGTATTTCAAACAGGATTTTTTGGAGTCTTTTGTATGAGTACACTGCACCAGCAATCCGCAATGTCGTCTCGTGGTATATTGCAATCTTTTGTCTACAAGCCCTCGCTAACTACTACTAATGTGTCGGCACTCCATGTTATTTCTACTCCCACCCATATCCTGCACAGCATTCACTTCTTCCAAATCCGTTCCATCATCTCACAAGTCGTCAATTCATCCATCTCGCTGGCGCCCTTTGCGACTAATTTTCTTCCATTTTGTGTTATCTCAAAATTCCCTTGAGATATCCTCATCTTCCTACTAGCAATCATACATCGTCATTGCTTCTTCGTTCTGGACACTGGCTCCATGTTATATCTTTTATCAGTCGCCCGACTATCCATCCGTAATAGTCGTGATTATTCAAAAAGAAACTAAATTTGTCCGGAACATTCAAGAGTGATGCCCACACAGTTCCTTTACTAGAGGGCATGAAGCAAATTTGATGATGGCTCGATTCATTTACTAAATATTAACACACTCTTCTGTTATCTTAGCTGTTATGAATACTGGAGAAAGCTCAAATAATGATATCGCGCTCGATCGAAACCCTCATGAGTGATTTGCCCAACTAAATCAACCTTAACTTTTTACGCTTCCTTCCTGAATGCGCACTTGAAGGGATAGATTTGGATCTGCACACACATCAGTAATCAATCCCAAACCCATAACTTCTTAACCCGTAATCACAAAAGTTTGCGATAGTGATAGAAAACATACCTTGCTGAAATCCCAAACATCATTTTCGGCATAAATGTCCTTCTTCAATACCTCAATGACTTCCTCCTTGCTGCTGGCAAGAGCGATCATGCAACTTCCTTGGAACTTCAAAGGAGAGTCACCGGTGGGAGGCTCGGAGAGAAAGGCGCCTGGTGGAGTTTTTCAGCGGAACGTTTTCAAGGACGACGTAGGTAAAGAGAAAACGGTGAAACTTACCGCCCATCTTCCAGAACCCAGACTCAAGACCGGTCTTTAAACCTTCAAAATGCTTGCTATCAACTTCTTAGCTCCTATACATCTCAAGCTCACATCACCACTTTCTCATGCAAAGTTCCTCAAAACAAAGCACCTCGGGGAAATTTCTCGTACGTAACTTCTCACACATAACCCATCATATCCCCAGGAGAACTCACGGTCTAACACTAACTCTTCTCTCCAACGCCCCCTCATTATCAGGTAACACAACCAACCACTCAAACTTCTCCGCTGGTGCTGCTGCTGAAGACATCTTCCTGATATTTACTGCTGGGTATGGACGGGTAATATAAGACGTAAGTTGTTTAGGATATAATTTGCCAGGTACAAATCTTAAGCGCGAGAAGGACATTTGAGAGAAGATAATCGACGGTTGAAATTGGAATCGGGGATGGTGATTGATTTATGAAAAGGGGAGAAGTGGGGTTTTGATATTGGGACAGTGCATATTGATAGATGTGGAGGGCATCTCGTGCGCCCTTGTCGGGAAAAGCTCGGGTGGGGTGTGAGGAAAGGAGGGGTTCGCTTCAAAAAGGAGATGATGTTTCACTGCGATGATTTGTATCGCCAAGTTGATTGTAAAGGAGATTCTTTGGGGACCTTTTGTCTAGGCATGGCCGCTATGTAGGCCCCAGACTGACTCTAAGCTTACCGGCGATAACGAAGTTGCCTGAGCAAGCTGATTGATATTGAAGTACTGAAATTTACTTGATATAGATCTAGAATACATATTATGTATATAAGATTGAAGAAGAAATCAGAAGCGGATCAGTCGTTCCAGATACAGGTATGTATCTTCAGTGTCACATTCATAATTCTGCTGGTTTCATAAATTGAAAGGAATCTTAGTGGTACCTAGATCTCAACAATGCCATCCAATACCTAAATTGCAACATACCCTTTAAACACTGTAGAATGTTGATGAGATATCAATACCCTACTAAATTAGTGACTGGCTCCAACTTGTGTAATCAGTTTTCTGTTCGTTTCTGAGTTCTATTCTGATCGCCCGTTGCAATGGCGCCTCCTGGCAAGATGGGAACAACACCTCAGATTCTGTATCTGGAAAGCATCGCACACACCCGGAAAAACAGTATTTGAAAATGACAGTGAAGTATTCTTTTTCTGGTTATAATTTGAACTCCTTGGGGGTCCTTGATAGTTGGATATCGGTGAAAGTATTCACTGGCCGCAGTTGAACATCGTGCTGGTTCCGATCGTCTCAACAACTTCACTTGATGGGAATGATTCAGAGCAAAATTATGGAAGAGTAAGGATAGTTTATCATCTCAGCAGCAATGTTTATATTGAAAATTACTTTGTAGGTTGTAAAGATAAGATTCATCTTTTCATGATTGTTGAGAAGCAATTCTAACAACACGCAAAGGGTTAGCTATCAATACTTCGATCTTACCATTGTGGACAAGTCGATTTCGAAATCACCCCTATCAAATTTGATTACTCTATCATATATTTATTACATTGAAGTCAATTTAGCATAGTCGGAAAACGTGGGAGTTGACAATCGTAAGTGATGCTATTGGATAACTATATAGTGAATTACCCGCAATTTGAGCGATGAGGAAAGACCATGCTATTCCCTGGTCTAATTTTGAATTGCAATTTAATTCCTGGAATATAAGAAAGAATATCTTGAAGTTGCAAATAGCATTCATCAACGGAAGAGATGGCTGGATGTGCAATTCTACTGCCATCTCTTCCGATATATATTCACTTTTCAATCAAGTCTTCCACGTTCCATCTATAACTAATCGTACCAGAACCAGTGAATTATATCCTCTAGCGCTGGCGGTACTGCCAATTAATGATTTTCTCAACCATGCCTCCCATGATTTCTTATATAAGTTTCTTTTCCTCCTACTCTCCCACCCAATATTTTAAGTATCTGAACAGCATCTAAAGTCGTCTACAAATAACTTTCTGATCAACTAAGATTCTTCTACAAATCAATTTTACATTTTCGTATTACAATTTCTTGATACTTTTAAATACCACAGTTTTCTCTTGATAATCTCTTTTTCAAGAAGTTATTACTCAGTTATTAATATCTCTCTCGAGATATAACATTTAACAATTGCCCTCGCCTTTTTTCGCCTTCAAACATTCAAACTTCACAAAAAATGCCTTCTCAACCATCCAGAATGAGTCGCAGTTCCGAGTCAACCACAGCCAGCGACCCTTCTTTATCCACCCCCTCAATGGATATTGATACCCAATTAGCTCCTCTCCCAGAGACCAGAAAGCGCTCACGCAATCTGGATTTGGATTCGGATAACGAAGAATCACAAGCTCAAAGAGTTAGAGTCGGTGATTCTGATTCAATTGAGAATGTTGATTCAGAAATGGCCATCGATACACCAGCTCAGAATGTAACGGCGCCTCCTCGAAGCAGGCAATCACGAATACGTTCTGGTCGCCACGCAATGTCTAGGCAGGAGCAAGAGCAAATTTCGAGCACTTTTGCCAATATTGGTGCTCCCACTACCGCTCCCAATCTCACTCAATCAGCTCCAGCTAGCTCTCCCTCAAGAGCTAACCATATAGTTCAAGCAAGTGCCATTCATCAATCTCATGAGTCTACTTCACAACGACGCTCATATGAAGACACCTCCGGCTATGATGCTGACATTAGTGGAGATGAACGCCCACGAAAGGTCAGGCGTAGAAGTGAACGTCAAAATTCTGTCCATACGCCAGCAGTCTCCATCGAAAACAGAAATGCAGAGGCTGCTGCATCACCTACATCAAATGAAGCTTCGGTCGTCGAAAATCAGGGCTCGGAGACTGCTTTACCACCAACTTCAAGCGTGCTTCTGACAGTTGAAGCACCATCTAACCAAATTGCTTTGACGCCTGGAGATACACCATACATTGATCTCACGTTTGAAGATTCGAGCGACGAAGAAGAGGGTGATGCCGCGTTGTCACCAGCCCCAAGTGTGCTTCCAGCCGTCGCAGCACCACCTGTCCAAAATCCTCAACCCAACGCGAACCGTAAATTTGTTGACCTCACATTTGAGGATTCCAGCGATGAGAAAGAAGGTGCAGCCACCATGTCCCAGGCGTACATTGGTGACAGAATTGTGTTGGTAGAAGAGAAACGCCTCGAACCTTTTCTACCGGAACCTACAATCAGGTTCCAATACTTGCTTGAGGATGCTCGAACTCAGAAACTGCATTGTCTTCAAGAATGGACTTGTGTAGGATTCAAAGATGACGTTCAGTTCTTGAGACATCTCGCAGTTCTCGGTACCAGCGGTAATGTGTACACCGTTATCTTGAAAAAGAAACCAAGATGTAATTGCTATGAAGGCAATAGAGGTATACTCTGCGTTCATATTGTCTTTGTAGGTATTTTTCTTATTGACATATCACAAAATGAGCGATGGCTAACAGTCTCAATCGTAGATCCTCACGAAATTCCTGCATCTACCAGCGCCACTTCGTCACCAATCTGCCTTCTTGGAGGCTGAGCTCAGATGCATGGTGGGAGATGATGTTGATTGGATGGGTCCAGTGCCAACAGGTAAATTCTGTCCACCAAAGTCAGTCGAGGAACAGGGAACTTGTTCAATCTGCCTCGAGAATCTCGAAGGCAATGCATCCATGACGTGGTGTATGGGCCAATGTGGACAGAATTTCCATCTGCAGTGCATTTGGACATGGGCCGACACAAACTTTATGGATGGACAGCCCGACATCACATGTGGACATTGCCGCGCACCGTGGATCTGGTTGGGCTATCAGCTAACCGCATTATTGAGGGGGCGTGGAATTGGCGATTTGGGATCAGCGAAGACGATGCAGAGTATTGCTCCTTGAGCGAACTCCTAGATAGGGACGTGAGTAAGGATGAGTACTTCAATGTAGCCGAGCTCCTGGGAGACTACGAGACTGAGGAGGACGATGCAGAAGCCCATCAAAGCTATCAACGAGCGGTTGACAAATGGAGAGCAGAGATGGTGAGACGGCCTACCACACTCACAGAGGAAGTGAATGCTTTCGTAGAGCGCTACTATCCTAAGGTGTATGATGATGTGTATGATGAATATTTGATAAGATCGAATGACGGCTACAGTCCTAGTGCTATCAGGGCCTTGGAAACAGAGGAAATTGTAGAAACTAATGTCAGGAGGGTCTTGCAAGGATTTCCAACCATTGATAGTGAGTTCTGTAGGGACTTACACCTATTATGAATCAACTATCCTGGGTCAATTGAGAAACAGGCAACCCCAAGGTATTGTACCAGAACGGGTGTTCATTTGACGGACTTCTAAATCTACTCGCAACACCATCTATATCTGAAAATGCCGTCTTGAAACATACTCGTCAAAGATGGTAACACAAACACTGGCTTCCCCATACGAAACTACATTACCTCAACGGAATTCTGAAGTTTCCAATCAAGTTCGATCATCGCAGCATATCGAATCACAATTTGGAAATATCTCAACTGGAGGGCTAATTCCCTCGGATACAGGCTAGAAAAATGCCAGTCTGTTTTTCTCGGGTCAGAGATTCGCAAGACACAATGGCACAACGCCTCTACCAAACGATTTTCCTCATCTATGGCTTCATTGAACGAGTCCACTGTTACGAAACAACGTCATTTATCTCCTCGACGAATATTATGGTTACATCTTCTGCAGTAATCATCTTGGGTTCGTAGTAGGGTGGCTGTGACCGAAACGGTACCCAATGAGAGAAAGAAATGCTCACATATGTGCTGTGCTCGGAGGGAAATAGTACTGATTAATTGGTGCAGGTGGGGGATGAGGAATTGGAAAATGAATTATTAGGAACGGAGCACTTGCTGGATGCAGAGTCCTATTTGGCGAATGGTGGTGGAATTTGTTCAATTGACTAGAACTTATGTGGTGGTTACTATGGAGTTTGTCACTGGTAATAAAGTAGTCCCCGGGATGGCCAAGTTCATTCCCGGGTGGTGGATTCTGTGCTCTATTTTGATGTGACCTAGATGGTTTTTGGTGTCTGGACTTCGGGAGAGTTAAGCGCGAGTGGCAAAATCATGAGATCAAATAATTACTTTCAAACAAGAGCCATGGATCATAATATGACTCTGTGATTCCTAAATTACCATTGATTTTGTACTCCAGATAGCGCCTTGGTATATATGCTAACTCAAATGCCTTCATACGATTTTACCCTTATTAACCACGAATGCTTCCAAAGCAGCTATGCTTGATTAGTACGGAATTTATAAAGTAAAGGTGATATGTAGGCTTACTAATAGCAGAATAAACTCTGTTTTCGGCCTCTGGGAAGACTAAGCTTCTGGGGCCGTAAAATACTGCATCGTTGACCTCATCTTGATGTCTGGGTAGACAATGCATGAATTTCCATCCTTCCTTAGCACCGCCTCGTTTTGCCATTTCCTCTGTGATTTGGTAACCTGCAAATGCCTTCAATCTCTTTGCTGACTCTTCTTCTTGACCCATAGATATCCATGTATCAGTCACCAATACATCTGCATTTTTAATAGCTTCCTCTGGCACGGAAACCTCTGTGAGTGTTCCTGGAGTATCTGTTGTAGTTGCGGCAGATTGGATGATATTGCGCATATACTCGGGGATTTTGTAACCCTCTGGAGATGAAACTGAAATATTGATGCCCAATTTCATTGCTCCAATTGCAAGGTCGAAGAGAACATTATTTGAGTCTCCAATCCAAGCAATCTTCATTCCCTCCAAACCTAAAGTTGGTGTAATTTGTGACGAGCTTCTGGAAGGTTGCGAGGGGAATGCTTCGTGGATTGTGAGGTAATCGGCGATAGTTTGTAAGGGGTGGTATTCGTCAGACAAAGCATTGATGACTGGTACACTCGACCACTTTGCCAGACCAGCAACATCTGAATGAGGTCCCACTCTAGCTACAATACCTGCAGTCATACTCGAAATAACGACTGAGGTATCGTACAATGATTCATTGACACCCAATTGGATGTCACCGGAACCAAGAAACATAGGATGTCCGCCCATTGTGGTGACCGCGGATTCGGTAGAGACACGGGTACGAGTGCTGCGTTTAGAGAAGGGCATGGCAATTACCTTACCAGTCAATGAGTTGAGGAGAGATGTAGGAACGGCGCCAGATTTCAGTGCGAGCTTGTGCGAATGTGCGGAGCGAACGAGGGTAGTAAGTTCGGAAGGAGTAAGGTCTGCAATGGAGAGAAGATGACGGGGCGCGAAGGGCGAGGTGAGAGGTGTTGATGCATGGCTGTAGGAACGCAATTGAGCTCTGCTAAAGCTCTGCAGAGCTCGACATCCAGGGCGCAACGAATTGAGAGTCATTCTGTTGGTGGTGAGTATAGGGATATGTCAATTGAGTAGAAATTGTTGGGGATCAATCAGAGCTCAGTGTGAGAGAAAGAAGAGAAATGTAAATAAGATGGTTTTTATTAGAGTCCTGAGATAATTTATAGTAACTCCACCTACAGATCTCACTTCAAATATGTATGTGATGTTGATAATGAGTCAATTCATGAGTCAATTTTATTAATTGTTTATCTTCCCAACTTTTACTGAGTTGTGCTCAAAGCTTCGAAGCACTTTTTGGGACCCCGCAAATTAACGCTAACCATATTTGGTAGCACATCGATATACGAACATGCTGATTGGATGGCAAATTATGAACATTTGTACTCTGTGCATGATGAGTTTGGCAAAGAAGTGTATCCCCGGTGAGGACGTTCCACAAATACTTCTGATGAGCTTTCTACTGAGTGAGACAGGTAAGTTTTTGGCCCGTGCATCAATGAGCATCCCAGATAAATATTGCAAACTTTGATTGTACCCTCTCCGACTGAAGCATAATATCAACTCCGCCGTCAATCGAGTATACAGCCATAGTCATGTCTAGCAGTACACTTTCTTCCAAAAGAGCTTCTAGCTCTAGAAACACACCTTCCGCTGAGCAAGAGACAAAGCGCGCCAAGAAGTCAGATGCCCCACCCAAGCAATATGTCTATGTTGTTTTGCATGAAACTTCCTTTGGAGGCGATCACACAGCTGTGGAAGGCGTCTTCTCAACCGTTGAAGATGCGACGAACGGGTTGAAGAAAATCGTCAATCGGGAGTATATTCACTTGTATGAAGATGTTGAAGAAGCGGGTATTGAAGTCACAGAGCGTAATGGTCTGGTGAAGTGGCATAGTAGTGATGCTGGAGAAGGGGAAGAAGTTAGTCTTTATGTGCAGAAGCATAGTCTACGAGCACCGGGCTCAATAAGGCAGCGAGAATGGGGTGTCGAGTCTGGTGATGAAGACTTGATGGAAGAGAAACAAGAAGAAGAGGGAGTGGAAGATATGGAGGAATAATTTGACGACAAAATAATTTGGGCCTTGGCCAGTCAATACCTCCTACGAGATTTTGGATTCGGCTCATATTTGGGTGGCCTCAATCACCTGTCTAGAAAGGTTGTCCTTCATTGTTGATTTGTTCGTTCTTGACACAACTAGCCCCCTTACTTTGGCAATGGAAAAGCGGGTCTCTACACGAATGAACCATTTGGCGTTATTGGTCTAATTTAATGATCATTGTTATGGCACGATTGATGGACTCAATAAGCTTCGGGTGCATCTGTATTGTATGAAGAAAGGGAGACGATAGGTGACTTCGACTTTAATCTATCGAACCGGAACGAGAACTACGAGGGCCAGTGAAGACAACAGTATACATTTTTATTCCTCATTATACCATGGATGCTCAATATGGATTTGTTTTCGATACTAGCTGTAGGACTCGATTTCAGTAAGCAAAGACTACCTAAGTCGATTTTGTGTTATGTTTTGTAGTGTTTGGTCTCTCGGAGTGATCGTACGTTGACTAATTCGTACAGAATTGGGCCATGACTACCACTCCTCGGGTTCTCTACAAGCTCGCGGCTATCTATACTTTCTGACGAGAAATTCATCAGTGAAAATTAGACGAATATCCAGCCTACATATACACCCTTCGAATTGATCTAACCTCCTGGCTGAATACTAATCGCAAATGACAATGTATGCATTGATCCTGGTTTCCAGAGCGAGAGAAAAAATAGGGATGGATCCTTCTAACCACACGTCTCATGGCTCTGGCTAATGGTTGATGACGATGTGGTAAGACCAGCTTTGTCGCTGATGATCAAGATAATGAATGTTAAAATTTGGAAAAGAATCGTTTTGGAAAGTGTATATTTTATTACACGGCCGATTTCATTCATCAGAATAGCATATCCAGGACTGAATTTGAGCTAAAACTCAACTTGGAAGGAAAAAGTGCCTTTCAAATTGAAGGAAATAGCGAGATCATAAGTAACAAACCCAAGATAGGAAGGACCCTAAGCTATATATTATGACATCTCAAACCTGCTACCTTCACGAACGAAATACAACTCATACCCAAACATCAACATAATTCTTCTTTGGTTCATTTTTGGTTATCGAAATTATCATCATGATGGATTGGAATTCAGTAAATTTACCACATTTGTATAACACGATCGAGCAAGGCCCCAAGGATGGCGTTCAGTTGAACCCATTATATGACGAATCTTATGCAACACAGAACGGAAATGGGAGCTCGCCATCTTTAGACACTGAAGCATCATATAATGAATCCCGAGTACCATTATCTGAAAACCGCCCTTCAACTGCACTGATTTCCTACCATGGTCTTCATCGCCCAGCGAGATTAGATTGGCATCGGATAGGTCAGCCTTTGGTCAGAGATTTCGCCAACGATACGTGGTTGAAAACTCGCCGTGTACTTGCTGCGTGCGATTCCGAAGACGACTTGCAGAATGATAACTCTAGATTCACACAAGCAATCTCAATGACAACAACCCCCTCAAAATCTGACGGCATGACTTACACAATCTCGGAATCTGACTATCCATCCCCATCACAAACACCGAGCAACATAACCTTCACCCCCTTCATGTCTCCCCAAAAATCAAGCCAGGGGCAACACGTCTACATGGTCCTTCATGACGCAGTCCCCGTCGCAGCAGAATCCCTCGCAACAACCAGTATCACCGGTGTATATACCACGCTCGAAGAAGCAAACGGATTCGTGGAACGGGTTGCGGAGGAGACGTGTAGGGATGTTCCAGAAGAACACTTGAAGATGGCTATAGAAGACGGAGCGTTTGGTTTTGATATTTTAG